GAGAGAGCCGAGACATTAGCAAAGACCCGTGTGCGTTGGAGGGTACTGGTGGACGTCCTCTGCACCCCCTATGCACGCCCTATGCACCCCCGGGGGTGATAAAGGATCAATAAGTTGTAAAAGTCGGTTCACAAATACGACTGGGCTGACTGTGGTGGTGATTATTAGAGGATGAAAACGTTGCAAATTCCGCGGGTGGGAGTTAAGAAAGTACTTGTTTCACCACCACATCGGTCTTTCAGGGCCTAAAAAGACAGAAATGGAACAATGCATTTCAGAACACCTACACTGTCAAAAAGAGGTTCCTCGACGTTGTACCAAGGTAAATGTCTCAGTCTTGTCTGATGAATCTTCTGATGACAACAAATAAAACTCTGAAAATGACGTAGTTGCTGGGGAATTGAACAGTTGAAAAACCGATGAGACAACTGCAAGGAAAACTATGGGCTTGATTATCAGCCGCTGTTCGACGTAGACCGAACTCGAGTAAGCGGCTGAAATCGAGCCTAGGCAAACTACTGTATTAAGAGAAGTCAAAATCAGATGTTAAAACGAATTGTAGCTTTCATAGTAAGACCATATCACGATTCCTTTGCATACATTTATACAATTCAAGTTGACCCGTGTTAGAACCCGAGGGGTATTTCCTGTAATGGCCTATATACATCGGGAGGCTCCGCCCGAAAGGGATACCTTTTTCAGGCTTCAGGATTTTAAAAGACTTAAAAGGGTAGGGATTTCCCAAGTTGAAGTATATGAAAAGGTTGGGGCATCTGTCGTTTAAGTCCAACGTAAACATGAACCGAGTATAAAATAATTGTTTTTCGGTTAATATTTCCCCTGGTTATGCTTGATGTTCTCCGGTAATTTTGTGCATTAGCTTCATTCCTGTTTCTATCAAAATGGTATACAAAAGGCTAAGGGGTTGGACCTTGGGGTGAAGCTCCCCCGTATAAAACTTTGGTCGTCCACAAGATGGTAACGTTTTCTCGTTTTTCCGAAGTTTTGGAGGAACATTTACGACAATTGGAAGTATTACAAAACAATTCAATTCCCGAGAAGACTTAAACAAGACCAAACAAGGACACAGACAATGATATTTGAAAGAAATTTATTAAAATTCAACTTACACAATTACATTTCTAAAAGGTGAGATTGAATTCGGTCTTCGGGATCATCAAGTATCACCTCATATATAGATCTTGAGCTCATAATGTATTTATTTGTTGCCCTAGAGAACGAGACTGTTATTTACAATTGGTTCAGTGGTGAACTTTCAACAGACTATGATACAGACCCACTCTCGGTCGCATTGTTAGTCGCGACGACTGCAGGCTGTACTTCTCGGGAACACTTGAACAACTCACCTAATCCTCTTCGCATTTCGTTACTTCGACCGAAATTCACCAGTGGGTTAAGAAATCCATTAAGCAAGAGAAGGAAGACGTAAAAAGGCCTAAACGGTTTTAGTCTTTGTAAGCCTGCTATGTGCAATGCTAAAGGTAAAATGAGACCTGGTAGAAATGTCAGACACAATACCAATAGTATTAACGCAACAGTGTTAGCTAACCGTTTCTCCCTTTGTGACGCGACATTCATCTGTCCGCCGTTTCCAGGTTGATTTTTCTTCAAGAATATGCCGAGATAAGAAAACCCAATGATAAAGAAGCAAACAAAATAAATAACGAGAGAAATGTATGAGGCATTGGGAATAAACTCCAATTGAAAGAAAGATAGAAGCGCTATCAATATGCTAATTGTCCAGGCTACACATATCATCTTTATAGCACGTGACTTGGTCACGTGATGACGATACCACCAGGGCTTCCTGACTGCTAGGTAACGGTCTCTACTGATCACTGCAACATTAGTCAGCGTGGCGAGTAGGCACAGGACTGACATCGAATGTGATTCGCCGGACTGACCAATGGGGCACATGTGTTCATGGGTTAAAGTCGTGATATCTCTGAAAAGAGCATATGGTGCATATAGGAAGTCAGTGACGGCCAAGCTGCTCAGCATTAACATTGAAGGCTGCTGAAGCGATTTCTTTCGTGCCACAGTGACGATCACAAGCGAGTTGCTGACAAGCGACATGAGAGCAATCAACATGCCAAGAGGCCGAACAAAGTAATTGGTGAAGNGCTGCTGAAGCGATTTCTTTCGTGCTACAGTGATGATCACAAGCGAGTTGCTGACAAACGACATGAGAGCAATCAACATGCCAAGAGGCCGAACAAAGTAGTTGGTGAAGTCTCGCATCTGTTGCTGCTGGTTTTCTGGAAGGTTAGGCATCAGACATGCTTCATAAGGAAAGCCGCTTGAGGTATTGGCGACCATCTTCGGTTTTTCTCTCTGAAATGACAAGAGACTTCGTTCAAATGAGAAAAATGCGTTTGTTTTTTTTTTGTAAATTTGATGTATGTACATACACTCTTTTTTATAAGAATATATATCAAAGGAAAACGAGGCTGAAATTTGCGAAATTTTAAGAATATTTTAAGAATAAACCCGGGATCGAGATTTTGAAAAAAAATGTAATTTTGTGAGTTGAAAATTTGTAAATACAACACAATTATATCAAGCCGCAAAAAAATTCCACCTTTCTCTAAACGACAAAACTAGCCAAAAAAACAGCAAAATCAGCGACTAGCCGTATTGTATGTTCGACGCTAATAAAATTAAGTTTATTAGCTAGTCAATATCGGGCTTTATTGCCTGCAGTCTGGCTCCAATAGTACTTCAACACCATCAAAGTCATGATAGAACAGATACCTCTGACGTTGTGTCGACAAAAGAATATTTACAAGAATATTTTCATCCTAAAATCGGCAGAAAAATATAAATGTTCAGCCGGGGCCAGAAAAAAAAAACAATATTCTCATAGAAAAAGACAGTGTTCTTAAACTAAACGTGACTTGTTGCTTGAAACAAATACTGAGAAAGATTAAAAGAAAAATTCAAAACACTTGGGTTAAATTTTCACGACTCAAGCTATCCGTTGAGGCAGGCTCCTGATTTTTCCTTCATTTCTTAGATTTTAAAAAGTTGATTTTTCACTCAAGTTGTAACTGACGATGACAGAAGTTACTAAAGAAGGACGTAGTTAAAACTGAAAAACGTTGTACTTATTTTAAAATTAATCGGCGGTTTCTCTGTTTACATGGTAACCAGTCATTTCGCCTAGTAGTCAGTTCGCCCTTTTATTAGTTTGCCCCAACTTTTTTCCGTTTTTTCACCGGGACTAAAACTTCAAAGAAAAATGTGCTTAAAATTTCTCTTTCCTTAAGCTAACCGACCGAAAAAGGCTGCATTGAGGGCATAATGAAACAACCTTCTACAAAACGTGTCTATTTCGCGTTCTTTAATCCACGGGCCACGGAGCTTGCAGTCCGGACGAACCAACTATCACAGTAAGGGCGAACGGGCTTGGAGCGAACTGGCTTCCCGGCGGAGCGAACACAATTCGTTCACAGTTCTTCTACCTTCCTTAACGTAACGTCAAGGACGCGGGAAAAATAAAAACTGGACGGGGAGATTGAACCAGCGCGAAAGTAAGGGAATGGAGGTGGGAAGAGAGAATTGCTAGCCCCGCGTTCGATTTCTTAAGCCAGGCGGGGAAACAAAGAAACGGCCGTGCGCGGACTAGAAAACCCACTAGAAATGCGGTGCTTGGATTCAAACAGTGGATAAAGTCAGTAAGAATTTATACCTTAACACCCTTCTAGTGTGAAACTTCAATTTAAGGGACAACTCTTCCGCGGAGATTTCCGGCTGCCTAGGTTTCTGTTCATAGTATTTCTGCTAATAAAAAATGTTGATTACAGACTCTCAAAGACTGTGACACAAAGATGTTCATTACAAATGCAGGAAAGTATAAAAAGGCCTGAAGGACGACCATTTTCAGTATAAATATGTTTTTTACACATTGTTGAAATTTAGCAAACAAATTTAAAACTAGATAGCTTCTGATGGACATTCTGTCATAAAAAAGGAAACTTGCCTGATGAAATACAGGAGAAATGTACCTTGTCAAAGCGAGAAATCTGTTCCCTAGATTTGGCTTGAAAGGATTTCTCCAAATGACTATCAGTTATTGCTTTTCGAAGTCCTCGCTTACGCCCACTTGAGTGCGGTTTCCCTACCTACAAATTTTATTTGGACGAGCTACTTATATCGGCCTGCTATGTATTTTGCGGTACGAAAAAAGTGATATTTCACAAAAGCATATTTTTTCATTAGAGCAAATTTGAATCCAGAAAAAGTAATTTCGAGCGAATTAATTCTAAACCATAGCTTATTTATTCTTTTAAGTACCGAACCCTTTCAATGTGAAATTAAAAGTAATTCCTCGGTCTGTTGCTTGAATCCGATAGCGACAAAATGCCCCAAACATCAATAAGACCGGAATAAACCCATTAAATTTTCTTAATCCATTCAATAATTTTACACATGTTTGAAATTGATATCAAACGCGGAAACACTTTTGCGGCCCTTTTAGTTATTTTACTTTTCAAAAATAAAATTTCCGCGTGCACGTAAACAGTATCAATCCCACGTTACTTTACAAGAGTAAATATATGAGGCCTAAACTGATACCAGGACCTGCTGAGTGTAAATAAAAATTTTCTGATATTTCCATATGTACAATATATACGCTTGTATCAGATATGACCGGCTGGGAAAAAAGGGTGCGACACGGTAGTTTCTCAACAGGATAATCTCTTATGCAAATTGTGCATCAAAAATAATTAGGGACTTCTAATTTGTACATTAAGGTGACGTCATACGAGCCGATTCTTAATCCGTGTACAAAAGACAGCTTTTAACGCAACTTCCTTACGGCAACGGTCGGCAACCCTTCTGCAAATCTCCGCGCGGGTTTTTCACGCGTGGAAGTCTCTCGACGTGGACAATGTGCAGAATGGAGATTGTCGCCCATATCACTAGTTCTTTTTCCTGGGCATCTTCGCGCCTTTTAGCGATGTGCCACAGTTTCGCTTTTTGTCTCGGGATCTCTGAGGTCCTTAACAGGTGCCACTTTTGGCCCTAACTCGGACCTCCATGGGTGTTTTTCACACGTGGAAATGTTTCGATATGGACAGATTGTCGCCCATCTCATTTGTTCTTGTTCCTTTGCACCCTCGCGCGTCTAGCGATGTGCCACAGTCGCGATTGCAATCTCGGGATTTTTGAGATACTTAAAAAATGCCAGTTTTGACCCCCCTGCAGATCTTCACGCGGGCTTTTCACGCGTGGAAGTCTCCCGACGTGGAGTGTACGCGGAATGGAGATTGTCAACCATATCATTTCTTCTTCTTTCTGTGCATCTTCGCGTGTTTAGCGATGTGCGACAATTGCATTTTCGGTCGCGGGATCTTTGAGGTCCTTAACAGGTGCAACTTTTGGCCCTAACTCGGACCTCCACGCGTATTTTTCACGCGCTGAAATGTCTCTATATGGACAGTGCGTGGATAGGAGATTGTCGCTCATTTCATTTGGTTTTGTTCCTCTGCATCCTCGCGCGTTTAGCGATGTGTCACATACAGTTGCGTTTTCGGTTTTGGGATCTTTGAGATCCTTAAAAGGTGTCAGTTTTGGCCCTCTTTCGGATCTCCACGCGTGTTTCTCACTCGAGGAAATCTCTCGACGTTGACATTGCGTGGATAGGAGATTGTCGCCCATCTCATTTGTTCTTGTTCCTTTTCATCCTCGCGCGTTCAGCGATGTGCCACAGTTGCGATTTCGGTCTCGGGATCTTTAAGCTCCTTCAAATTTATGTTACACGAGGCGATTTTTCACGCAACATTGTAAATTCGGGCAACCATGTTGCAAGTTTTTGAATCGCTGTCAAAAACCTGCAACACTTTGCCGCAACGAAATGTTGCTTTGAAAGTCTCCCTGTGCGCCATGTTATATGACATCGATTTTTAATGCAACACATGATGTTGCGTTAAAAATCGCCTCGTGTAACTTAACTGTTATTATTTAACGTTCCACTGTATACACGAGATAAAGAATTTTTACTCCTGAAAAACTTTCAACAAGAAAAGTATCCCAGAAAGTTGTGCTATGGACTCAAGAACACCATCCACGAAGATCTACTGGTTTAACTGTGGAATTTTGACGGTTTCAGCTTTCCTTTTTCCTGAAGTTCGAAGCAATGAATCTTTTCATGTTCCAGAGAATTAAGTAATACAGTTTTAAAAATATTCCAAAACACCGCCAATTGTTTTTAGAATAATGATATGGTTTTAAGAAAAATGAAACAAAGTATGAACGTAAGCCATTAGCGGCAAGGGCCATGAATATAAAAATGTTATTTACCGGATGGGCCATGGAAGGTCCGTATGATGGAAAACAGTGGCCGATGTTTAAAAATACTGCCCGAGGTCGTAGGCCGCAGGTAGGATTTTCAAGTTCGAGGTCACAGTTTTTCACCGCACGGGGAAACCACAACCCGGTAAATAACTTAGTTATATTTTCCTCTCTCTTTCAAATCAGTTTTATAATTGTTGACCTTTTCCACACACATCTCTCGAGTTTCCGTGACCGTAGGCAGAAATAGGAAAAGACCCGGACAGCGCTAAAGAACCAATCAGTTTGCATGATTCGTTACTATTCCCTCGTGAAAAAGATAATAATAACATGCAACTAACATAAAATTGCAGCCGGCTGTTGTTATTCCTCAGATGGGAAGCCGGCTTTGCAACATGTTACAAGTAAAGGATCGATAAAGGACCCTGTGTTTGTTGAGCTCCGTGAGCTTGCTGTACGCAAGTTTACCGGTGAAAACTTTTATACCTGGATGGTATGTCTGCTTTCATCCAAAATGTATTTCAAAATTATTTTTTGTTTATTTCTTTTAATTGAAATTTTGTTACAATATTAACATAATTATTAGTATATTATTAGTAAACGATTATTGGTGTTCTAATGTTCAAATGGCGCGATTTGATTGGCTAAACTTCTCGTGTGTGTTTAACAATAAGATCATCAGCTCGCGATTTCTATCACGTGATAGTCGACGAGTACGCAGCCCAGTCAACTATCACGTACAGACATTGAGACCGAATAATCTAATCGTTTTAGGATAAATCTACTATACGTTCAAAACTTTATCTAAATCCTCCTCACAGACACTTCGAAAAAGCAAAGAAGCAGCCGTCAAAACAAGCGCACACTTCTACGCTACTCACTACCTACAACAGAATAGATAGTGAGTAGCGCAGCCAATCAGAAAACAGCATTCCAAATATAGAACGCTAGTAGATTTATTTTAACAGTGTATAGTGGCTGGAGGTCGGCTACTGAAATGGTACTGCATTTTCTTCGTTTTTTTCTTAAGTTTCGCAGGAACATGCATAACAATTTTAATTGGAAGTATTACACGATTATTCTAGAGGACTAAAAAAAAGTATATATTATTGACATTTCAAGGAAAATTTGTCAGAATTCAACTAAAACAATGGCATAATCCGCCCTCGATTTCAATTGGGTAATAGTGGATTCGGGTACAGTTGCACCCTGAGAAAGGTTGTTAGACGCGACGAAGGGCTGCACGTCCCGGGAGCAGTTGAACAACTCGCTTAGCCCTCTCCGCATGTCTTTACTTCGACCGAAATTCACCAATGGGTTAAGAAATCCATTGAGTAGGAGAAGGAGGGTGTAAAACGGTTCAAAAGCACTAACATATCTTATGCCTACTAAGTGCAATGCCAAAGGTGAAATGAGACCTGGTAGAAATGTTATAAACAATACCAATAGGATTAACCCAACAGTGTTGGCCAATCGCTTTTCTCTTTCTAAAACACCATTCACTTGAAATGCATCTCTAGGCTGATTTTTCTTTAACACTATGCCGAGATAAGAAAGTCCAATAACGAAGAAGCAAACGAAATAAAACACAGAAGAAATGATTACACCTCTGGGAATAAACTCGAATTGAAACTTGCTTCTTAAGTAAGTTAGAAGCGCAATCATTATGCTGATTAACCAGGCTACACATATCATCCTCATAGCACGTAGCTTAGTCACGTGATGACGATACGACCAGGGCTTTCTGATTGCCAAGTAACGATCTCTGCTGATCAATGCCACGTTAGCAAGAGTGGCAAGGACGCACAGCAGCGACATCACAGGTACCTCGACAGAGTTTAGGCACATATGCTCATGTGCTAAAGTTTTGATATTTCTAAAAAGAGACTGTAATGAATATAACAAATCAGTGACGGCCAAGCTGCTCAGCATCAACATTGAAGGCTGCTGAAGCGATTTCTTTCGTGCTACAGTGATGATTACAAGCGAGTTGCTGACAAACGACATGAGAGCGATCAACGCGCCAAGAGGCCGAACAAAGTAGTTGGTGAAGTCTCGCATCTGTTGCTGCAGGTTTTCTGGAAGGTTAGGAATCAGACATGTTTCATGAGGAAATGTGGTATTGGTAATCATCCTTTTCTTCTTCCTGAAATAGAGACGGAATTCTCAGTTTTAAACAAGGAAAACCGTGTTTCTTGATTTTGATGTATATACACACCAAAACCCGACATGGCTTTTGTTTGAATCAAAGATCAAAAATTTATAGTTAAATTTTCAAGACATAATAATTGGGCGTGGCGTGCTCCTCAAAATATCATTTGTCCTTAATTTCTTATATTTTCTCTAACATATTGTCATCAGGGTCAAACTAAATGACAAACTGCGCGAGACTGATAAAGAGCGAACACAATGGAACAGCCGAGAAGAGAAGTGCCAGCTCCGCGTTGCGCGCAACTACGGCAACTCGGGTTTCTGTAAGGCTGTAAAATATTGTCCTGGAAACACGCAAAGACAGACATTACAAAAGCACAAATGCATAACAAAATCATGAAAAGGCTTCAAGAGTGATTTTTTTTTACATTAAAACTACCAAACTAACCAAATAACGTATTCTTGAGATTTAGCAGAAGAGTTATTTCAAAATTTTGACTCCCATTGGATCATAAGCAAGGAAACTTACCTGCTAAACTACAGAAGAAATGCACCTTGTCAAAGTGAGAAATTTCTCTTCCCTGGATTCGCTGGCTTGTAAGTCCTCAGTTCTCTAGTTGACTATATTTATTGCTTTTCAAAATCCCAGTGAAAGCCCGCTTAACTGCGTTTTCTGAGCAACAATGCTATAAAGTTCTCCTAAACCATTAACCCACGTTTGAAATTGAAAATAAAGGCCAAGATACTTTTCCACTAAGCCGTTGCTTAAAATTACTAATATGCCAACTGTACGCTAGCTTGACGTCAACTTCACCCACGTCAGCGCAGTAAATATTGGCTTTAAAGACCTCTGACGACATTTATTTAAGTTAGCATTAAATCCGGAATTATCAATTTTAAGGAAATTTAAGCCAACTTTAATCCTGTATAAATTTCTATATTCGTGTTGAGAATGATACAGTTTTAAATTATTATAGACGATCAACGTCCGCGATTGGAGCTTCCTGAAATTTAATGTATCTAACAGAAAATTGTCGCACCGTGTTTTTATTTTTTAGATGGGTTGCCTTTTTGAAGGTGTTTCGGAAAACGACCGCATTTTATTTTTGAATATTTTGGGACAGTTTTCGTAAAAAGTGGTAGGGAACGAAAATGAAAAGAATTATATATTCAATAGAAATGGGCAACTTGAAAAAAATGATTAACTGAAATCATGTGAATTGTTTCCGACAACAAATCCAAAAGTTGCAAATTACACTAACGCTAATCCATCGTGTGTGTGTTTAAATGATCACATTACGACCGTGTCTTAACTTCTTATACCGAATCATACCTTTTTGCCACGCTTCGGCGGCATATATTGGGCGAGTGGTTCGTATTTCAGCGAGATAAAGTCGAGCCAAAACACACATGGCTAAACCTGAGGCTGAAATTGTGAAAAGAATATAATTTCGATACAGATACAGATCTAGACACCAAACACTTGTAATTGATACCCAAAACGTCATAAGCTATAATTAAGAATATTACAAGAATATTTTCAGCCTAAAATCGGCAGAGAAATAGGAATATTCAGCCTGGGCCGGAAAAACAATATTCTTATTAAAAAGAAAGAGTGTATGCCGTCGAAGCGTAGCAAAGAAGTATGATCAGGTATTTAGCGTAATAATAATAACAATAATAATAATAATAATAATAATAAT